GACATTATTAATGCATTAACTGTTCAACTGTAAGTTCAAGGATCATCAACTCATCCATTCTAAGTACCAGTGTCTTTTCCTTTAGCATCAGTTTCAACGTTGACTTTGTTTCAGTATTAAAGATAAAGTTGAGTTCTGGTCATGCGATTGCATTGTGAAAGAAAAGGTGTGGAATGGATCAGAAAAAGTTGATCATGTAGTATGTAAGTATTGGTGTGTATTGCAAGGTTCTAGAGTCATCAAAATCATAATAAATTTGACCCAGTCTTGGTAAAGTAACAATCACTGTACACAGAAAGATGAATATGGGACTACACAAATGGTGTCGGGCCTACTTACCTTGATTTCCTTATCTTTCTACGCTCATTACTCAGCCAGTATACATTTTCTACCAAAATTGTTGGCACATGACATTTATTTGTAATCTTCAACATTCAGTGTAAGTTTCGTTTGATTCTGTGAAAATTCATTTTCTTTTTTTTTTACCAGAACTCAAGTTTATTGTTTTTGGTTTGACCCTTGCTTCTCACCTCACAACTCTTGATAAATACAGCACTGATTGTTTACTATATGCCATTCTATTAGTCTTCTTTTTCTCCTTTTTTTTTATTATCGTCTAATAGTCTGATGTTAACTTTAACCATTAATTGAACTCAAAAAATTAATTGTGTCCTCTTTATGTCAGTATGCGCAGCTAAAATACATGTTACACTTCATGTAACTCTTGGCTCTCTCTCTCTCTCTCTCTCTCTTTCTCTTTTTTCTTTTAGTACTGCTCTATTCTCCTCTTCTTCTGTCTACCTTTGCCTTCGTCTACTTCAACTTCGTACAAAACTGATTTCGTGTATTAAACTTACCCAACTGAAGCCGTTATGACTGTTAATTGGCTATGATTGTGATTATTTATTTTGGTAAATTGATCTGCAAAATCTTACCAATGAAAAACGAATTTCCTAATTGATAGTAAGAGCTTGATTTCAATTTCAATTAAATATTTTAAAAGGTTATGGATCAAGAGTTTAATATGTTGATGTATAATATCAAAAAGTCACTCGTATGACTTGAAAATGTATCGAAGTAGAAATCATTGCGGCTTTCTAAATGAGGTTCTCCATATTAATCTGTATATTAAGAAAGCCCGTTGCTTTAAGTTGGAAAGTAAATGTCAGTATGAAGTGAAATGAACTGAAATAGACGGCAAAATGCTAACTTTGACATTTAACTGATACATTCGCGAGATCCAATGAATAACAATGAGATAAGATTTCATACACATTATGGACAATCTACTATAAACTTCTCTGGAACTATGGTTGGATAAATATTCTGCCATACTCTTCACCTATGTAGCATGGAATTTTTTTTCTTTTCCAAGCTAGTATTGCCAAAAAAAATATATGTGTTGACTTCCAGATTTGTTTATTTACGCACATAAGCTGGTATCCGTTCTATATATATACGTGTCAAGTCAATCCCACTGAATACTGTTGTACGACACCTTTTAAACACTGTTAGAAGTTTCACACGTAGAAGCTCGGTATATCACACTAAAAATAGCAAGTCTGCTGTTGTTAGAATATTAATATTAATAGAGGATACATATTTTGATTACAAAAGAATGGGATAAAGGTTGTTTAAAAAATCACACCATAGAGTTTTTTAACCTGTTGACTTCTGGATTATCTTATTCCTATAGGCTTAATACAGAGACCGCTCGGTTCCAATAGACAAAGGGTTAAATATTTTGTGTCGTGAATCGTGAATCTGTTCAGTTTATCAACTCTTATAATTACTTCACAGCTGTATTGTGTTAATTAGGGTTATGAGTTCAAGAAAATGAGCCTAGGTGTAAATTATAGGTTTTTAGAAATAAACCAAGTAATCGTTCTTCTTCAAATAGCTTTAAAGCTTTAACAAGACAATAAAGATTGGCCTAATCTCTTCAGCCAGATTTATCCTTGTCCACCAGTTTGAATCTCTTCTTTTTCTTTGAAAATGAACACTTTTTCATGTTAATAAGCTTACTGGTACATGTATGAAGACAACACGAAAACACATGGTGATATTTGTAGTCCGTGGATATACAGTATTTCGGTTTGAAATAAAATTTCCTACTAAAATTAAATTGATCATGATTAATGAAAGAGTTTCAGGAAAAATTGAAGAAAGGAAATTGACGAATAATTGTTTTTCAAGAAGAAGGTCAAAATATAGTGGATATAAAGTAATAAAAACCCATCTAGTAAATTCTATACAAGTCATGTATATGTCTTTTCATGGAATTACGTGGATTTTTGTTTTGCTAGACACGCGTTGCTTGTATGCTCCCATCGAATTATATCATTAGTATGGTAAAGTTATAGTCTAAACTGATCATACATGTATAGGGGAATTTCAACATAGAACTTCATGCTAAAGAAGCACCGAAAAGGCTCAACATCGAAATAATGTTGGTTGTTAATAACATAATTAATCAGTAATTGTATTCAATTGCAACTTCAGGTTCGGATTCAGGTTAATAAAATAAAGTCATAATAATTCTATCCGTGCGAAAATCTCAAAATATATCTTAACTCATAGCCTGCCATTAGGCTGCATGCACGCTATCGTTATAGTGCTTTGTATATGCGAGCGAGCCATTGCTTCGCTGCCTCACTTTAAGAAATCACAAAGATCAGTTGTATTATGCGTATATACATTTGATAACAGAACAAAATGTTGATTATCAGAATGTAATTTTGGAATACCTCAGAGGTATTCCAAAATTACATTCTGATAGCTTCTTCTCCCCCTGCAAACAAAAAAGAAAACAAGGTTATTTAATAAAAGGATCATGGGACAAAATGATCATTGTGATTCAAATTGATGCAAGGATTTTTTTTTAATAAGCATTTGCTTTTCACCAGAATCTTCTTTGTAAAAACAACTTTTAAAAATCTCAGCCATGCAATTCTGCCACTGTGTTGAATGATCACTTTCACATTAGGAGAAGTGTATTCTAAATTGAATGGAACGTCTCAACTCAGTAAGCATGGCTGAGATATGTAAAGTTGTTTTTACAAAGAAGATTCTGGTGAATAGCAGTGCTTATTCAAACAAATATTCGCATCAATTTGAATCACAATAATTTTTTGTCGCTTAATCCCTTTTAATGACCTTGTTTTCTTTCTCGTTTGCAAGGGGAGAAGAAGATATGTCATAGTGTGGTACGGTATGTCACTGAAACAGCTCCCGTAGGACTTTTGTGCAAATTTTTTTTTTTTGCATTTTTGCATTTTTGGATTCATTGGGGTCCGAGCTATCAGAAATTGATGGGGTTCAAATTTTCCCGGATACACCAAATATCTATATTGTGCTCTATATAAGCCATTTTGGCCCCCAATATGGACCCCAGGAAATGAAGGAGGGGTCTGAAAATTTGAACCCCATCATTTTTGGCCAATTGGGACCCTTTTGAAGCCAAAACAGCAAAAAAAAATCAACTTTGTCAAAAAAAATCATGCGGGATTACATACCATACCGCACTACATCATAAAGATCAGTGTTGTATGCGTATATATCATATACACAGGCCCTGTGGAACGTTTATCAAAGTGGGGGGCTAAAGTATTTACCATCAGGTAGAGGATAGCGAGCGTAAATTGGTGTGGGGGTTCAGGGGTTTTAGGCATTTAATTACGGTCAAAGAAGCACAAACATTTTGATGCCGCATTTATCTCACTGGCAGGTCGGGGGGGGGGGGGTTAAGGTTAAATTTACGTTAGTATCCTATTTTTTACCGGTTTGGGAGGCTAGGGGGGGGGGCAGCCGTTAAAATCGGCCCATGGCTCCGCGCCTGTACAAAAAAGCACCAAAACCAGAATCGCCTCGCCGCTACGTGGCTCAGTAAAGAAAGAATGTAAAGTTTGCTCCGAAAAATGAGGAGGAAATAATGTGCACAACGGGAAGAAATCGAGAGAATGTCATCACGGGATGACAGTCAGTAACAGCTATGTAGTTTGTAAATGCTGATTAAAATGATAATGAGGAAATAGCAAATAAATGAGGGGTGTCCTAGGTACCAATTCAATGAAAATTTGTATAAAAAAGAGCCCCGTCAGTACTAAAAGAGCCCCCGTGAGAAGGCTCACGGGTGCTCTTTTTTTTTGGGGGGGGAAGAGCCCCCGTTGACGAAAAATTAATTTGAGCCCTGACTATATAGTATTCAACTTTTCTCTCGACAAAACGAAAATAGCACAGATTTATTTCTGATATGACGTTACTTTGATTTACAAAAGGCGGAGGGCCGAGGCGTATCTAATTAATGTACGCGGTGAATTGTTATCAGTTTAATCCAGAGTTATTAGTTAAAAGCTCCATCAATTGTACAGCAGGCAGTGGATGGGAAGGTCATTAAAGCATGCTGCAAGTAACCGTAATGGAAAAGGCGTCATGATTTTGTGAAGTAAAATGTAACATATTATGCCATGGTGACATTATGAAAGAAAATTAATCAAGGCGATACTATGTGACGTCATTACGAGGTCTTCATTCAATGGAAAAAGTTGTCTTTCTTAAATGTCAATGCAACCATGCTACAGGCCTCTAAATACACATATCTCTGAAAAGGGATAAACTACATATTTTCATGACTTTGGAGGCGTATTTCATCCTATTAATGTACATGTATCTATCTGTATCTATTGTAACATCCACTCCATCATTTATACTACAGATTTTTTAAAATCTATTCTGTATACGACCTTATGTCAGAGGAGACAGGGGACAAACAGTGTAGTGTGTTGCTTGCAGTAGTGATAGGCTGTTCAACTAGCAACTTCGAATAATGTGTCTATGCATTTATTAATCATCGATCTCCAACAAGTGGCCCGTTGAATGGATTTCAGATACCATGATTAAGGTTGATTTATCCCGGTCGGCCATACTTACCTGTCAATAATATCTGGTAGGTGGAAAAAGGCATGGACAATTAGTTCTTAGAAAGCGTTATGAATTCTTACCTATTTTCCTGATAAGCCACTCTGTACAGAGCGATGTGATGGAACAGGTAATGGAGTAGAGAGCCATGGCATAGGACCCCTTCCTTACCCCATCCGAGTAGATCTGTCTGGCCTGGGAACCAGCCGGGGCGATCGGGTCTCCACCGTACACCTCCTGCCCCATGAAGTCTGTAAAGTAAAGCGAGTAACAGAGAAGAGACATCCAACCTAGAAGATGTGTGAAGCAGAGGATACGAAGAGATGGGGGCATGAAGACAATAGAAAGGAGGTACGTTCCCATGGTAGCCGCCTCCTCCGGCGGTTCGCCATTGATGAAATCCTTGGTAGAAGATGGCTCAGGCAACGCCTGGTACATTCCCATCTTCCCATCGCTTTCGTCTCTACCCTTGACCTTTGACCTTGCCCCGTTAACACCATTCGGGACATCCTCCTTCCCTGCTTCGACCGGAAGCTGCCCCTCTGCTTCCGGTTTTGCAACAGTCCCCTCAGAGACGATGTCCGCCGTTGTCGTAGGGACGATGTCCGTCTGTTGTGAGCCGTAGTTCTTCTTCCTCTGTTCGATGACTCCGAGCTCCACTTCCTCGTCCTCGTCGTCCATGCCACCGTACGTTCCTTCTCGTTTTCGACGCCGTTTTGATTCGATAGGGTTGATCTCTGCCAGGGTCTGTTCTCTCTCGGCGGTCACAGTGATGAAGAGAGCCACTACGAAGATGATCGTGATTAAACCGAATACATATCTGAGCATACAAAAGAAAGAAAAATGTCATGCTATTAAAATGGATGAGAATAATGCAGTGCAGGTAAGAAAGCATTCATAATTTGTTCTTATTCAAAATGTAACTATAAACGACCATCAGAAACACTCTTCCCGCTTCGTTTAAACCACTTCTTTTAACACCCGCACCAGGACTTACTTTTATGGAGATGATTACATATCAATACTCAGTGGCTCAGTCCCATGTAATATTCCAACTACATGTACATTTGGTTCATTAAAAATTAATAGAATAACAAATAATTATAATTTACACTTTAAAGGCTGAATATCTATTCAAAATGAATTTGCAAGTTGAGTTGTTGTTTTACTTCTGTCCTTTTTTTAAACTCCAATGTGCAAAGGTGTTTCTGACCCCTGTGCAATCAACCAATTAAGATGGTTCCAAAATAAGTGGAAAGAGCGACTCTTGTAATACAAGTCACGCTATACGATAAAAAAAAACAATCTCCAGTTTTTTTCAATTAGCCATTCGAAAGCACACGACTTATATTATTTTGACCATTCAATGAGCGCTTCTTCACCATGCAATGATTGTCTGACCGCGTATGGATAATGCACATTCTGCCATGAATATCTATCGCGTTTAATCCATTAACTTGCGTTAAAAGGAAAACAAAGGAAGACACTCTACATTTTGTTCTCCCTATTTGACTCCGATTGGCCCCCTGTTTTCCTTCAATTATTGTTTGATACAGTGCATACATGTTACTGCACCCCTCCCGCTAACTTCTCAAAAACGAATTCTAATGTATCTCTCATTAATCATCATCTACATCGATCTACGTGTAGATGACCCAACAGGTAACGTCACTATGAACATGACGGACAAAGAAAGCGGACAAAATATACAGTTCCTCAGGTAGATAAAGGAACATCCCTTCACTGCTATTATGTAAAAAGGTGAATATGCATGTGACACCTGTTCTACACATTTTTACATATTAGCAGTGAAGGGATGTTCCTTTGTCTACCTGAGGAACTGTATATTTTGTCCGCTTTCTTTGTCAGTCATATTCATAGTGCGTATTGGAAAGGTAATTCCTTTCAATGTTCACTCGACACAATCAGTCTATGATCAGACGTGCTTTCACGTCTTGATGAAGGCGTCTGGGACCTGCTTCATAAAACTAATTATCAACAACAAAAACAAAATTGAATTCCTACGACGAATTTGCTCCTAGCCAATCGAATGCAATAATTTCAGAAGTAGCTTATAACAGCTGTTGTAACTTGTTATTGATAAAAAGTTCCATCAAATAGGAACCTGTCCTTCATGTTACACTTTAAGAAGTTCCCTTCTCTTCAATAATAATATTCGCTTAAAGCGAATGATGCTTATGTTTTCAATCCATCATGTGCGCTATTTGTGAGTGAACGACATTTCGTGAAGTCAAAGTGTATAGAGTAGGAGATACATCATCCTCGGAATTCTTAAAGTATCAACATTTTCAGTTTATCTACGATTAGTGTAAAGCCCAGGAGAAAGATGATTCATTTCCAAAGATTGTCACTCCTTAAATATAACTTTATATGTATGGTTAACTTTTGTATTGCTTGAAAACATACTTATCACATATTGATTACCAGAAAACCTCAAAATTACCATATTTCATGTTTTTAATTTGTATTGCAGTAACTTTTAGTTTACAAATTTATGTTATCCATATCTCATTAATGAAAATGTAAATTTACTTGTTATTTATGAATCTAAAACCAGTACTCTCTCAAATGTCATAGTTGTACTTTTTTCCTCATTTTCGATATGTCCGTTATGCACTCTCATCCTCAGCATTATCTTATATCTCTCTCCCTTTGTCTTTTTCTCTCTAAAACCTTTCCCGGATCTCCTGTGCTGTCTGTGTCTTCTCTCCCTACCTCTCTTCTTTACTTTCCCCCAACCCTTTAAAGGGAAAGTCCACCCCCAAAATAAGTTTGTTTCGATAGAGGCAGAATAATAAGAAAATCAGGTGAGTGAAAGTTTGAGCAAATTCTGAATGAAAATAAGAAAGTTATGAATTATTGAAGTTGTGATCAATCAAATACAAATTGGCAACTCTGTGACTTATTATACGAGCTCTCCTTCATTTGCTTTGTGCATAATATTCCATAAAATCATGTTTTCTTCGTTATTGATGACGGAATATATATTTGTTCCTTGCAGGGGGAGTATAGAAACATATTTGCAATTATTATATTTAGGGTGCATGTATGGTTAAAATTTTTCTTGAGGGAAAATGAAAATTTTAGATTTTTTTTAGTACTGAGCAAATGGAAGTTGAGCTCGCATGATACGTCATAGAGTTGCCAATTTGTGTTTGATTGATCACAACTTCAAAAATCCTAACTTCCTTATTTTTAATCGGAATTTGCTCAAACTTTCACTGACTTGTTTCTCTCATTTTTCTACTCCTATTAAAACTAACTTAATTTCAGGGTGGACTTCCCCTTTAATTTTGTTCTCTCATCTCTCGTATTTCAAACGATCTCATATATATGATTGTGGAATGTATGTAATTGTCACCTGTTTAGCGAACTGTATAGGCGTATAACTGATTTATCAAAACAATTCAATTCCTATGTGTTATCTTTTCATACGATTTGCTGGATAATTTTACTGTAGTTTATCATATTTGTATAATTATTTATGTTTTCACGCAATGTACGAAATTCCGCAATTCAGCCCTCTGTCTGCAAATGAATTTTCAATATAAAAACCATTACCATTACCAAATGACTGTATTCATTTATTCGAGCATCTGTAGAAGTATAGATATTGCAATATGTATTTAATTACAGCATTACAATGTGAACAACGTCTGATTTATTAGGAACCTAGCTGCCATTATAAAGTAGGAGTGCTCGCAACGATGTTTGTGATTGTAGTTCATTAGTGTCAACGTACTGACAATTCTTTTCTCATAAAGCGTAATAATAAAGCCCCAAAAGAAGAAAATTGATTATGATTTTCTATCATGAACTGAACCATGATTCGTTTTCCCACTGCCTTTGTTACCCTGTAGTGAACCTCAATTAAACACATACCTAAATGTCATTCTGAATCTTGCTATAGATCTGTAATCTGTAAACACAGTCTATATAATGTAGACCCATCAATTATCGAAGATTTAAATTTGTCGCAATACACAATTTAGCAGAGCGTGCAAACCGTTGGATCCAATTGAATCGATTGGAAAACAGTAATTACTGTCATGATATTGTGGAATTCAGAATGCCCATTGAAGCAGGAATGAAGAAGCAAGGAAGGGAATTTAGTAATCAAGTTGCATCAGAATATTTCCAATACGCATCATGAATTTCAAAAGCAATATCAAATCATTTTCTTTCTCTTTGAGATTCTGTGTTAAAATGAGTCTCTGGATCCCTATCTAACATTGTGACTTTAATACGCTTTCTTGTAGGTCTGCTTACATAGTACTTAGCGGGTGACATGTCGGCTGATAGGATATTTGATTGCAATCCTGACCACTAAATTGTGATCGTTCTTTGATTTAGAAATAAGCAGAAAAGTAGTAGTTAAAATCTAACAGGTGGTTAAAATTTCAAACATGCATGTGAAAGCAACCTTATTGTCGGCAAATACAAATTCGACAATCTTATGCCAAAGTAACCAATATTTTTTAGCATATTTTCGGTGTTAATAGGCTAATGCTATACAAAGTCTGGAAGATACAAGCATATCACGTGTATGAAGGGTTTTGAGCCAACCAGAAAAGGGCATATTTTGTGCATTAAGAAAATGTACGCAAAAGCCCTTGCAATATATTGGGAAATAAAAAAAATATATTGGGACTATTTTTTCACTGCGTGTTATTGTGCAAGTTGATAAAAATACACGAGGATTTATATAATGGTGAAAAATTGATTTTTATACAATCGATAAGATTTTTAACATATATTAATATTGAATGACTATTCTTTCAAAACAAAATCGCACTCGTTTTTAGAATATTTCGCTCGTTGTGCCGACTCGCGCAATAATGCTCATCAGCTCGTGTGCTATACCATTGTTGGCCCACCCAAGGTCATTCGATTTTATACTTAAATACCCTAATCATCGGTAGTTCCTTAGCTAATATTGGAGGTTATATTAAAATCTCACCTGACATGTGAACCTACAACAGCCCATATGGAACTTTTACCCCATGGGATTCCCCCAATGAGGTATCCCGCAGCGCCTCCGAACCCAGCCATGAAGCTGAAGGTAGCAAGTCCACGTGTGTGATCTGATGGGTGTGTCACGTCAATCAAATAGGCGCGGCTTGGTGATTGGCAGGCGTCACAGCTGAAGTCGAGGAAAGCCACACCCAGAATGGTAAAGATAACACCACAGGCGTGGCCAGCCACGATATGCCCGGTCTCCGTCCAGGGAGTGGTCGCCTCCCATGTCGTATTATCAAAGATGCCTTCCGTTGTCGGGGAATCACCGTAGGAAGATTGATCATGATTCTGGAAAGAGTAGGATGATGTCACCAAAGCTGTTTCTTCCAGGGAATTACTGACGGTGGTCCCGAAGTCATGTATCATTGGGTTTTCCTCTGAGTAATTCCCATATGAAAGTGATGATGACGACGACGACGCCGAGGATTCGTGGTGTCCACATACCGTGAGGCCAAACCTATATCCGTTGGGGACCAAAAGGAGACCGATGAAGATGACGGCGGAGAGCAGCAAAATGAAAGGACGTCTACGACCAAGTCTAGAGGAACAACGGTCACTTGCTGAACCTAAGAGTGGCATGACGAAAAACCCGATCAAGGGACTTAAACACCATATCATCGTCATGAATCTCTGTGGAATACCGATTTTGAGAAGGATCGGCGACACGAAGGCCGTTTCGGCGGCGTAGCAGAACTCGATGCCGCACACCGTACCACTAAGTCGTGCCAATCGAAACCATGATTTTCGTTGGGTACTGACTCCGTCTTCATCGGTGTGATCAAGATCTCGACCACCATCGCAGCTGATGATGGGGATCGTATCTTCGGCTCGATGTCGAACCAGTCGTCGCCATCCTGTGCGACATGCGCTGATGATCCCATCAAAAATAAGTCCAATACGAGGATCCATTTTGACTTTTATTTTACTTTTCTCTCAAGTACAGAACGTGTTATCCACCTTGAAAATCAAATTTTGAAATATGTTACTACACCACTGCAGACCTTTTCACGGAAGCTAAAACACAGAAGTAATGAATGCAAACAAAGCTAAATTCAGTTTCACGCTTCTGGCGTTGATTACGCAACTTCTCCTCCAAGCTCCTGGTATCTCGATGCTAATTACTCCATATTTTTCATTAGTTGCAGTTATCATAGTATCCAGATGGCAGATATATTACAACACATGCTACAATAAACACTAACGTCTGAAGTGAAGTGTGGACGTAATAGATGGCATGAAGTCTTGCAACAGACATTTAGAAACACGCGACGAAAGAAGAGATTTGCTGTCTCCCATAGCCTACCAACCGCGTCCTCTCTAAGCTGTGTCACACTCTTCTCAAAATTGACTTCCAAATCAGGCTGATGGCCGAGCTGAAATCGCACTCACATGCTTTCAATTTGCCGTACTACTCACTCCGATTTGATTTAGCACGCAGCGCAGATCACTCGGGCCATCCCATTAAGAAGGCCGCAGTAATTCGCAGACGATAGGTTCTCTCCACAGCGACCCCATACGAGGCGGAGTAATATTCTAAAATGTCACGATCGTTCGCGCGCGCAAAATCCATACCTCCCCACCCCCAAAAACTGTCCCTGTCTCTTGCTCATCATTCCTCTCCTGATGCACTATCTCTATCTCTATCTCTCCATCTGCCTCTCCATGTAATACCTGTATGTCGATTTCTGCATATCTTCTCTTTCTCTTTCTCTCTACACCTCTTTTTTTTTTTCTTTAGCTTTCTTCTTTATCTCTCAAATAAATGAAAATGTGGCCTTCTAGCTATCTTTTTCTCTTGTTTTGTTTTATAATCTCACACATCTCCTCATTCTCATTTTTATTCTTCTGTCTTTTTGTGTGTTTCACGACCTCTTCTTCTGCCCTGTGACTATAAATGCACTTGAAAAGCAGCTGCCTACTTCTATCTCACCGATACTGGAGAGAGAGAGAGAGAGAGGGAGGGAGAGAGAGAGAGAGAGAGAGAGAGAGAATGAGAAAGAGAGAGAGAGAGAGAGAGAGAGAGAGAGAAGGGGTGGTGGATGGTGGTGGATTTCCATGAACTTTGAATGGTGTCATGTTGCAGCAAATTATTTCATCTATTCGTTGCATAAAGTCCCTTAAACCAAACTGTACTTCTAATATACCCAACCGTTTTCTCTCCGTCCCTAAAGCTTACAAATATGATCGCTTAGGCTGCAATCACACGTTATACTAACAGTAAATATAATGAACCCCAACCCCCCCCCCCCCCCCCCCCATACCCCATAGCTATCCAATCTACCCAGAGCTCCGCCCCTTAGAGCTTTCAGTGTGTTCGCACAATGTCGGCAATGACGTCATTGACTGCGAAACACCTGTATTTCTTTCCGTTTTCCAGGCGACTTTGAGCGAATTCATTTCCCGTAGTCGAGCCTTGTGTATTGTGTGTGACCATGTACCCAGTCGGCATTATCATTTCCCGTTTACTCTCAGACTCTCTCCTTACCTTTCATCCTCTACCTTTTCCCCCTTCCGCTACCCCTCCCTTCCTCTTCCTCATCCGTCGCTTTGTGCAAAGCATGAAGACTATAACAATTGACAGCAAAATATTATATTCGCGCCTAAACCTCACTTGTTTGAAAATGTATTAAATTGGTATATACCATGCAGGGCTCAAATTATTTTTTTGTCCACGGGGGCTCTTCCCCCAAAAAAGAGCCCCCGTGAGCCTTCTCACGGGGGCTCTTTTAGTACTGATTATGATTGTGATTCAAATTGATGCGAATATTTGTTTGAATAAGCATTGCTATTCACCCGAATCTTCTTTGTAAAAACAACTTTTACAAATCTCAGCCATGCTTACTGAGTTGAGACGTTCCATTCAATGTAAAATACTCATTAAAGAATACACTTCTCCTAATCTGAAAGTGATCTTACAACACAGTGGCAGATTTGCATGGCTGAGATTTGTAAAAGTCGTTTTTACAAAGAAGATTCTGGTGAAAAGCATTGCTTATTCAAAAAAATCCTTGCATCAATTTGAATCACAATGATTATTTGTCGCATGATCCTTTTATTAAATAACCTTGTTTTCTTTTTTGTTTGCAGGGGGAAAAGAAGCTATGTCACGTTAAGAAATCATAAAGATCAGTTGTATTATGCGTATATACATAATTATGATACCAGAACAAATGTTGATTATCAGAATGTCATTTTGGAATACCTCTATACAAATACCACATTGTCTTTAGCCCGTATCAGTATTAGTATGATCCAATATAAAGCTATTATTCTTTATTTAATTCAGTATAATGCTTTTCCTCAAAAATAGTTTTGCCATTTTGTTAGGGTTGAGACGCTAAGAAATGGTTTCAAATGTACATTACACGAACCCTGAACCATTGCAAAATGATGGTGGTTCTCTCTCTCTCTCTCTCTCTCTTTACTTTAATCATGCATTATCAACTACATATAAAGCAGCAACCAAAAACTTAGGGTTATCTGAGATAGGTGAAAGTAAGAGTTAAAAAGAAAGTCATGCTAAAACGTTCTCTCGTTTGAAAGTCAAGAGCCTTCGCACATATACCACAATGCTGCAAACACAGATTGGTAGCTTCAGTGGCAGATCCAGGATTGCGCTGCATGGGGGGGGGGGGGGGGTGAAAATCATTTGAAAACAAACAGCAAAAATTATTTTAAAAAAGGAAGACAGAAAAAAGAAGCAAAACAAAGTATTGCGTGATGAACTACATGAGCGTCTTCAATGATAAATGACAGAAATCAGTGACAAATCTGCCATTTTTTCCTTAGAACTAATTGCCATTTCTAGCTGCCAGATATTATTGACAGGTGATTATGTCCGACCAGTATATTCCAACATTAATCATAAGTTTTGTGAAATGGGGCCCTATTCAAGGATATATTCTTTTGATACAGTAGTGACACTTTAATCTTTGTGTGGCTCGTAAGTGGAACAGAATGTAAATGAAATTTTGATGAGGACAGGAAGACGTTTATCAAACGGTGTGCTCACCAACACTTTGATACAAGACTGGTAAAAGATACGAGGGCCCGCAAAAACACACTTCATACATACTCATACAAGCTACTTTTTATTGTTAAAATGAAATAACAAAAATGATAGCTTATGAGGAGGGTCCGCTAGAACCACAGGATCCCCTATGCATTTTGGCCCTGTTCTTAAGACGATCTTCAGGAGATATGAACGTAGGCTTATTAATACAGTAGTCATCAGTAAAGAAATTATGCTCTTACATTACACCCAATCATGTCGAGAATAATTCAACCAAAGTTACGAATTCTTATTTCGATATCCATAACTACTAAGTTCCTATCAAGTTTTCTTCTGCAGTGGCACTAGCGATACTATAACTTGATCAACAAGATAGTGTCTCAATGATCAGTTTTTCTTCTCCTGTTGTTTGCTTCTCCATCAGCGTAACTTTGAGTTCGTGAATACTTACTTTATTGTTTCATCATATCATTTGTCGGAAGAGGAACTTGTTGCTTTTGCACAATAAGGCTAATCTATCTTTAACAAAACTTGTGCACGAACTGCATAATCTTCATTACTGTACTCTACCGTATTTCATTTTTCTCATTTAAATCATGTTGTACTACTACTACTACTACTACTACTACTACTACTACTACTACTACTACTAATAGTATCGAATATTTAGGAGCGCTAAAAACAATAATACCATAGCGCTTACAAATACAAATATGTGAAAAGAGGACAAAAATATACAGTCTCACATAAAGTAGATCACTGGGGGAAAAGGTAAGTTTTGAGGGATATTTTGAAGGTGGCAAGACAGGTACATGTAAATTCCCTTATGGAAAGAGGGATGCTGTTCCAAGTCTTGGATGCAGCTACTGCAAAACGTTTTTTTTTAATTTAATTGTAAATGATTACCTAATACTACCAAAGTTTGATCTTGACTGAATCCATTTAGTCCATTTTAGAATCCATCTAGATTTTTCTTTCTCACTGATCTCCTTGACTGTTTAGCAGTGTTTCATTGTTTTCAGCTCTATTGATTCATTAACTCTATGATGGGTTTTCGAGTGAAACCATTTTTTTTTATAAAGATAAAACGCAGATGATTTAGAGTTGTAAAAAACATCTTTTACTATTCTAGGTTAAATACAGAAACAGAAAAAGCATGTAGAAGTGTGTGTTATAAACTGGGTAAGTTCAGTGGCGAAGCTCTGTGTGTGTATTGAGATTGCTATCATCCACTAGTATCTCTCTCTCTCTCTCTCTTTCTCTCTCTCCCTCCCCCTCCCCCCTCTCTCCCCATCTCTCTCTCTTTCCTCTCTCTCTCTCTCTCTGTATATCTCTCTCTCTCCCCCCCCTCTCTCTCTCACTCTCCCTCTCTCTCTCTCTCCCTCCCCTTCTCTCTCACTCTCTCTCTCTCTCTCTCTCTCTCTTTGTATCTCTCTCCCTCTCTCTCTCTCTCTCTCTCTCTGCATCTGTCCCCTCCCTCTACATACACTATACGTGTTATTACTTGCTATAGTGTGATTCTAGCAAGATAGTGCGAACTTCGCCTCGGGGTAAAAACCCCATCCGTTGCAACCTTTAGCTGTCTACCACTCCATTACCGACTGTTTCACCATGCTAAAGTGAGAAGATTGGTTATGTATGCGGGGCTTACACGCCTTAATACTGGTATTGATGCCTCGGACAGACGCGGGAATACAAATTACATCAATTCACGTCCATTGGAACTCTCACTAACCCGATATTATATTCCCAGAAAGTCTCTAGTATATCTATATACACGGAAGGCAATATACAACGCCGTTATCCCGTAGGCCCTATTATCGCAACTAAACTATGTAGCTTTTCTACATTATCTTTGATAATGAAACTAAAATATGTCATCTGGAATAGAAACGTACTTTAATACTTGTCAATACAACAAGAATCGATTTATACAAAAAACTTGAAGATATCTAACTGAGAATCAGGATAGACATGGAATAAAGACAACAACTACAATGACCACATATTTGAATAGGAACATAAAACTCGGAGCGAGTATGTCTATGTAGCATGATCAGCTCACTTTTCCGTGAATCTTGCAACACGATTAGTCAAATTGAGGTCGCGTGACATAGGATAGATTGCCCATCATGGTTGCTACACTAACAGTCAATAGTTAAAGTTGTATACCTCTCTGTAGTATGTTGAACAAATCTAGTCATCTGATTGGTCGAAATTGGAGTCGTGATTTTAGCCATGCCCGTCTAACGGTCAATAGTTAATGAGAAAGATGCCCGTTGCCCCGGGTAACGGGCCGCAAAGTTAAATTTTGCTGAAATCCCCATTGGTTTACGTGTAAAAAGTTTCTTTGTGCGAGTGCACATCCTGCTATGACCCCTCGGCGCACGTCCCCTTGAACCTTTATAAATAGCCATGCCTCTCATAGCAGTCAATATATCTAAACTATCACATAATAACCAATGGTATGGGTTG